GCATAACGGTCAATTCGAGACAACGAAGAACAACTATTGTATTCTTAAGTATTTTTCTATTTTATATGACTTGATTTTATTTTCAAAGATACTTATTCATTCCTATTCTCATCTTTTTTTGACCATGTGTTTTGTTTTTATTATAAATATTTTCCTAATATGAGAATAATGAAAAAAAAATCAGATAAAGCAGAATAATTTCAGGATAGCTCCTTACAATAGTTGGTAATCCAATATGCGCAAATATTTTTTGTATTTACTAAGTGTACATTTTTTGCCTTTCAAAAAACTATTAAATAATTTATTTGAAGGACAGGTTAGCATAACAACTGACTAGAATTTTAAACTTGTATCAAGCATTCACATTAAAATAGAGGTATAAATAATAATTCGTTTTACTGCAAAATATGTTGCTAGCAAATAAATCATGGAATAAGATCTAAGCCTGTTGAAGTACAGAAGTACAAACTTGGATCTCTCCTTCACCGGTAGTGATAGACGCAAGGTAACGATCGTTTATCAATAAAGTTTCGTTATGAACTACATCACTATTGCATTTCTAAAAGATTAAGTGAAACAGAAAAATGATGAATGAATGTCCCAAAGCAGCACGTAGAATTAAACCATCTTCGTGTGATTATAAAGAATATCTAAATCGTGTTTGATATTTTAATCCGTCGAGGATTGTGCTAACAGCTTTTTTATCGGTGTAATAGGCCAAAGAACTTCACTAAAATGTAGAAGAGAATTAAGGAATAGTAACATACGATCATAAATTGATCCACCAATGAATAAATTTTGATTCAACATGGTATAAATATTATAATAGTGTTCCTTGCATATGATTGTATATTAATTATTGTACTTAGAATAATCTTCTAAAGTACGAGTTTTTCTTGTTTTTCTTCAAAGTAAACCAAAAATCGTGAACACAATTTCCTAAAAACAAACATGTGAATAACTTCAATATACAATGACGTTTTTTTTCTATGGTATCACAAAATATCATTTTTCTTTATCGATTAATTCTATCTTTGAAATCAAAACAACTTGTTGGTATAGTTTTCGACAGTGAATTTCCAAACGTTTAATTTTAAATAAACTAAAATAATTTTCTAAGAAAGTTTTTCGAAAATATTTTTTTCTCATTCAAGTATATGCCACATTTCTTCATCATCCTTTAACTTGAATCCTTTAGTGGATTCCAAGCTCCTCCGCTATACTTCAACATTGTTTTTTAGATCATGTTGTACAAAATAAAACTATAAACTAGACAAAACTTACATTCTATCAGATCGTACCGATGATGATCGCTATTGATTTGACATATCAGAATTATTTGAACGAACTTTTAACATAAGATCATTATGCGAATTCTAAATCATACAATACCGATCTCTATACGATTTTGATATTCTACATTGAAGCGTAACCATCGATCATTTTTCATTGGTCGTTGGACATAACCATTTATTTATGACGTATATCTCTAGGTACAAAACTAGACTTTTCGATTATTTTTGGCATCATAATCGATGAAAATATTAAATCATATCTGTTAGTAGAACATACACAAGATTTTTCATCTTCTATTTAATATGAACCAAAAATCATTTCAGATGAATCGTTTTTTTATTTCTTCGTTTGAAATTCATCTATGATTCGTTTATGTTATCGTTTAACATCAACAAATTTTAGTTTAACAAATCGTGATCGAAAATGTTTTTATAAAAAAGTATCTGTTGTTGAATCATCACAAATACCAACAATATATGAAATATTACTTGATCAACAATAAATTAAAAACACCATTAGGTAATATAATAAAAAGTTGAAAATGAATTACTTGCATTAGCAATTGCACAAAAATGAAATCAACAATATAAAAAAATTGATTTATCATCAATGCATTTATATTCTTTGATGAATACATTAAAATTAACTAAAAATCAACTTATAGAAAAATTAATGTATTTTCTTGATTGGGATACATTACTTTATCGTTCAGATCAACCAGAAGAATTTCGACAATTACAAATTAAACATTGAGATCCTATTTTATTATATATTAAAGAATAATTTCATACTTAAATTTTGATCAATCATTAATAAATATTATTTTATTTATTGTTGAACAATTAAAATCTATATTATTAACTATTTGTTTATTAAAACAATATCGTACAATAGAAAATATTTCAACATTATTAAGACTTGAAACAGAATTTCAAATATTACGTTGGAATAGTGTTGAATATTATCATGATCATGAAATGATAGATACACGGTCTAAAATATCAGCTGCTTATTTTATTTTCTATTGTTTAAATAATAATATAATAACAACAAATATAACCAATGAAACAAGCTAATATATAAGAAGATTTTCTATTTGTTTTTTTTTTGTGTTATATTGATATAAATTGATTATAATAATAAACAAAAATTTTATGGTCATTTCTTTGTTTTTTTTGTTATTTTAGATGAATTTTTATTTTGTTTTTCTTATGATGCAAAATACAAAAATATTTTTTTAAACATTAAGGTAAATAAATTTATTTAATTTTGCTTTCGAAATAAATATTATGAATTGAAGGAAAAATATATTTATCAATATATTTAAGCTATGAAGAATGTCAAACAAATAGAATGAAAAATAATAGTCATAACAAAAAATGCTTTCCATTCTGTTCGACATCAGGACAAAACTGAAAATAAACTAAATGATTTTTTTCATGTGAAATGTTTCGAACTTATAAATTTTTGACTAATAACACCTAAGGCAAAAACAAAAAAAAAAGATTAATCTAACAAGAAAAACTCACCGGCTGGTACTTTCACAAGTCTAAAAGAATATATGTCCTTAAACAGTAATAAGAAGTTTTACTTCGAATGAATGAATACCTAAAAAATGGGTTGTTGTAAGAAAGTTATGGTTTTTTTGCAGATGTAAGTAGTAAAAATATATAGATGATAGAAAAAGAATAAATACCATACCAATGAACATTCTGATATATGAACGCTCAATTGAAAATGTTTTGTATTAAATCTTATTTTGATAAGAATCAATAAGATGAAATCATATTTTAGGCTTTTTTCTCTAATTTCTTGAGCATTACGACAATGTTAATATATCTATCCTTTCTACTGTTGATATGTTGGGTCTGCAAAGTTGAGCCAAGACATCTTTTTCTATTTTTAACAACCAGACTCAAATGATGAAATGTCAAACTTACATATAAAACTTCACGACTGGTGCGATATTGTTATGTCAATTAGTCTTCTCAATTGAATGGACGACAGTGACCTTCTTTGCCTTTGCATTAATAAATCAACGGAGGTATATATAAATATATGAGTCAAATCATCCGCAAAAAAAATTGTCTTACAAATGCTTATTGTCTATTGTATGATGATTCATCACATCAATTTCATCTTTTGTATCTATTGTGCTTTTAGGGTGAGGGTGTGGGGTGTGGGTGTGGATGGGTGTGGGTGTGGGTGGGTATGGGTGTGGGTGTGGTTCTTCTCTTCACCCACACCCACCACCCACACCCCACACCCATTAGTTCAATCATTGATGAAATAATTATTTTTATCGACGATCAATTTATCGCCACTCGCCGATGTCTCTTTCATTTCTGTTATAATTTTCTGTAAAAAGTTGCGAATGAATATGTACTTATTCTATTTACATCAGACTCATAGCCGTAACTCAGTGACTTTAAAAAAATCAAAAACAATTCATTTCAATGGTTATTGTTTGAATTTACATGTAGGAAATTTCATTCTTTACTTTGACTTCATTTTCATTGTATAATGATGATTATTTTCGAAAACTAAGATTTCTTCATTACTTTCATTAGTTTAGTACGATTTAGGCCTCATGATTTGGAGTATTTCGTGAAAGAAAAATTATTCATTTACTTGAATAACTTTTACATTTGAAATATGCAATTTCAATCGATGTCTTTTGTGCGAAATACATCGTGTGTCATGATTGTTCTGAAAAATTTAACCATGAAACGAATAAATTTCAATCCTTTTTACAGAATTCAAGGTTTTTCTTTTTCATCCTTCTCATCATGTTATATTCATGAATTAAGAGCTCGATTTTCATCAATGAATTTCAAACAACATTAAAGAATACGTATGGTTTATTCATCACAAATGGCTTTTTTTGTCATTATATAAGTCACACTCTCAAGATCAACAATTATGTGAACACGTTCCACCATCCCAAAGAGTTAGTTTAATTTGTAAACAACAATCTAGATATTGTATATCTGATGTTAAATCGCGTTACAAGACATGTACATGTTTGAGTTTTTAATGAAGCTCTACATCAATTAATTACTAAACGAGCTTTATCGTAAAGTATTTTCGAACATATATTTGTTTTCATACATGAATTCTTTTCGAAAATATCACTTGATTGATAGTAATAGTCTTTATGATAAAGATATTGATATTGAATTTACAATTACTATTTGTAATGATTTATCAGGTATAGATGATAGTTCCAAAGAAATAAAGATTACTGTTATTCATTATTTTACTTTTTTCTTATTGGTTAGTCTAATTTTAAGGACTGATATTCAGAGTTTTTAGAACATATTTATTTTAAATAAGAATCTTCAACTCATATTAATAAATATTTGATGTTGTACTGTCATCACTTGATGATAAGACATATTTAGGGATCTTTTTCAATGGGTCAACGATAAAAGTATTGCTCCGAAATAATTCGAAAGAAAATCTAATCAAGTGAAAAATCCAGAAAATAAAAAAAAAGACTTAGAAATTATTCATAACAGTATGATTCTTCGTTTTTGTATCAATTTTTGATGAAATGATGAATTAACCTTCGTCGAATAAATATTCTTTTTGGTTCTTACTCGCATTGATATATCATTATTGTAAATATAGCTTATCTAGTTTTGTCTCTATATATTTATTACACATTGTAATATAGCTATATATCTCTTAGGTTCTCCTCAGAGATATTTCTAAAGTAAAATCAATATCTAAATAAATCTTAAAACGATGAAAAATTAATGTTGCATTTTCAATGTGATTAATATCGTGTATCCATGTTTCGTGCACACAAATTATATTTTGTCTTGGTGTCTGACAAAGATGTTACAGTTGCTGTTGTCATTGATCGTTGTATTTGTCTTTCTTGTTATCATTCGTATTTCTAGATATGCCACTAGCAACGACTTCACAAAAAAGATTTGTTTACATTATTCTATCAAGAATTCTTGTAATGCGAAAAGAAGAAACTATGCTTATAAATTGTTTTCTATTCTTGACGAAACTACTCATTAAAACTCACTACTGTAGCTGAAAATTCACGAGAAGCTTTTTACTTGTTAACAAAAAACAAAAAAATACAAGTTCATCCAGAAAACACAATAAAGAACATGTACACATTAAACCGTTTTTTTGCGATTACGATTTCTTAAATTATTTTTTCGTTGCATAAAGGACAAGTCAGAAATCTTGATTCGATTTGAATATTAAAATTTTCTTTGTGAAATAAATACTTGTAAAATTTGTCTTTATGATGAAAAGACACAGTAAAACACACTATATAATATAATTTTTTATTCACTTCACTATTTCATGTAATGAGAATTGAAATAAGAATGCAACGTAACTCGTTCGTAAAGTCTCAGAGAACAAATTCATTGTGTAAAGTAAATAAACTATCTGATAAGATCCTCAAGCAAGGTCGAGCTTAGTTATGGTAACTTCTTCACTTCCATTAAAAAGCCACATTTTTTCTTTATTGTTAGAAAGTTTTACTTCAACAAATTCTTTTTAAACTTTCAGTAAAAAAGATGAAACATTCAATGAAACAAAAATAAATCAAAGTATTTATAAAATCTTCTTTTCAATTCACATATACAACATGACAGAATAATGAAAAAGAAAAGAAATTAAACAAACTAATAAGACACTACGGTCCACTGTACTTTCTTAAAGATGACTGAAACTGTCAACTATTTGGTATCATGATATGACCATTGCTTATACTATTGTGATTTCTATGATTATATAATGATCTGAGTCTTTTTGAATTTATGATATTTATTTTCCACATAGTTATTTCTCAACAGGTACTTTGTAGAAAATTTTGATCAACTGACAAATAAATATATTGAAATTAGATTCAAATAGCATCCTCACATTTCAAGATTCGGGTATTTTTATGATTTTAAAGAGATACATATATATTAACAGTTATTTGAATGTTAAATTAATAGAGAAGCACAGTTATCAAGTCGAATTATCAAATCAGTTTTACATGTTATTTTTCGCGTAATTATTTATGAATGATATCAATTTATTATTTAGACTTTAAATTGAAAAAAAAAAGAACATGTTTTAATTTTATTATTATTGTCTATGAGCACAAGCCATAAAATTTGGTTGATTATAATAAAAGTCGATTGTTTTATCAGTACATGCTCCTCCTCCAGTTGAACCAACATGTGGACAATGTATAGATGGTAATAAATGTACAAAATATGTATGAATAAAACGGTAAATAACATTTCCTTGATCTCCTCTTGGGTGTAGGTGTGGGCATGAGTGCTCCTTTGTAACTAGCACCCACACACCCACACCCCAGCTGCTTTTTTTTCTTAGGATAGACCACAGATTGAAGTTCTTATTCACGTTGAAACAATCCATCCATACATATTAAATTAGCAAACTGTTATTTTTTTATTATATTTATTTGTTAATAAATGTCAAATATTAAATAATCAAAAAAAAAAGAAAAAGTCAATATTCTTCAATTTTTTGTCGATCTTTTTCAATTTGTAAAACTTTTTTTTTGTTAAACAATTTGAATTTGAATCATTGGAAAATGTTCGTTTAATAGAATTATTTGTTAATTGACCAAAAAAAAAGATTTTTTTCATTTCTGTTAATAAGAATATTATCTTGATTATCATTTGAATTATTTATTTTTGATATTGTTGAAATAATTGTTAAAAATTTACCGTCTTCAGTTCGAATTCGAGTCGTTCGTACTGTATCATTTGCACCTAGAATTTATTTATTTAAAAAACAAGAAAAGAATTTCAATACGATTCATATGATTTCAATTTAATTAGATTTAATAAATTTTTTAAATAATATTATTATTTTATTAATTTATTTAATATGTTAATTAATTGTTTATTTGAATAGCTCAACTAACAACTATTTTACTAAATATTTATTTATTTCATATATTTACATAATATGAGAGAAAAAAAAATATTTGAATAAATAAATAAATTTTATTATTCAATTAAGTTAAATAAAATTGGTCGAAATATAAAAATAGTTCTTATGTATTTATTTATTTGTAGACAAATATTCTTATTTGTTTTATATTATATAAAAGAGAAGAATCTAATAAATAAATTCTATTTCGATTAATTCAACAAAAATTTTTTTTATTTGACTAAAAGTTTTTAATGAAAATTTTTCAAATCTAATCAAAGATTTAATTCCAACGTAGATTTTATTAAAAAGAAAAATTCTATATTGAAAATTCAATAGAGAATTCGACTTCTGTTTTTTAATGAATTATCTTGTTAAGAATCGATATATTGTCTATATTTTAATTCATTGTCGATTAAATAACTTGTATATATATATATATGTTATTGTTGAATATAATAATTAATATATAGTTATCATGATCAATATTTATTCGAAATAATATTAAATAAATATTTAATTATACAATTGACAATAAATAATCAATAATAAAATAAAAAAACAAAGAAAAGAACAAAAGGTTACCTACTTGAATCGATGATGATAAAACATTCGATGTTGAATTTGTTTGAATTTTATTTGATGAATAATTAATTGAAGATATATTTACGTTAACATGTTTTGATTTAATATTTTCAAATATTTTATTACTATAAGGAAGATCAATTAATTGATTTTCTTTTAAATTTTTATCTAGATTCGGAATGTTAAGAAATATTTCTTTATAAAAACTAGTTATATCACCAATTATATATCCTTTGATGGTGTTAAACATGAATTTTTATCTTGAAGAAAAAAAAAAAAGAATAAATATCTTTAATTGAATATAAATCTCATTTTCAACAAAATCATATTTGTTAATTGAACGAATAAAAACACTTCGAACTGTTTTTAATTTCGAATTTGGCATTGATTTATATACTTGAATTAATCGTGAACGAAATAATAATTGAGTATAATTTTCAAATAAATTTCAAATGATTTTTTCAAATTTATTTGATTGAGATCCATATAAACGATAACAAATAAGATCAAGATGAGATAAGACGTATTCATACAATTTCCGATAAAACATTGTGCATGGACTTAATTTAATATGATTATTTTCAACAATTCCATCTGATTTACTTCGATTTATTGTCAATTTATTCTAAACAATAACATCGTCTGTTTTTTTTTCTTTTTATCCTATTAATTCCTATGATTTATTTTAACATTATGAAAGTTAATTCAAATGATAAATTAAAAAATTTTTGTTTTCTAAAATTCTATTCAACTTTTTAGAAAAAAAAAATGTTTTTTTTTTTAAACGAAATATTTCAAGAATTAAATTGATATTATATTAATAAAGATTTATTTTAATTAGTTAACTAAGACAAATAAAATGTCTTTGGTTTATTCTATAATAATATTTGTTTGAATAGAAATAAAAAACTTCGACAAGATATTTTCCTTCGTTTTTTTTGTTAATTCGATTTTGAAAATTTTTGAGAAAAAAAAAATATTCATTGAATATTGATAAAATCAATTAAATGAATCCAATATCAGAAGATAATCTTATTTATTGAAAGTTTTCATTCAAAACAAAAACTTTTTCAACAAATCGATTTTAATCAAATTCAATCAACTTTTTTTTTCTTAAATTAAATTCCAAGGGGTTCTACATTCAAAAATAAAGATTGACATCATAGGGAATTATCGTCATTGTTCTCTAATATCCTCTATAAAAAGTATGCTCTAGAAAGAAAAACAAGTGTTCGCCGTAGACAGGCTTTAAAATGGTTATTATTTATCGAATTATTTTCATTGTTTGACAAGCTTTTAGAAAAGGCCGACGTCAATTATCATATTTCATAGAATTTCAGATGAGTTTATTTTTGTCGAGCTCGATTATGAAAAAGAAATAAATTCTTTTTAAATCGTTGATATATATTATCAAACGTTTTCTCATTGTTTTTTCATGATAAATATAGAAAAAAATAAAAATAAAATATTCTAAGGGACCAATTTTTCTTGTTACTAAATAGGACTAAATATTTCATGGTTTTTAAATATTTATGAACAAAATTCTTTCAAAATAAAAATTTTCATTAATGAAAATTTGGAAACAATTTTTTTTGCAATTAAAATAAATCATATTCATTGATATGTATAATATTGTATTAAATAAATCAAATAATAAATCTTACTGTTAATTGATCTGTTGTATTCGATTGAAATAATTTTCTTGATACATTTGTTTTATTTGATGATTGAATAAACATTGGAGTTAAATTATTTATTGTGTGATAAGAAATTATTTATATTTAATTGAATTGATGATATTGTTTTATATGATAAAATACCTTTTAATTCAATATCATTCCATAATGAGGATTTTGTTGAAAAAGTCATTGATGATAAATATTTAATAAATGATTTTGATTTACTTATTTGTGTACAAGTTTTTAAAAAAAAATTTTTATGATTTAAAAAAAAGGAATACCCATCTAATGAATAAACATGTAATATCCAATTAAAATCATGATATTTATCCGAATGAGCATATAATACTAATAATTATTTAATATTAATTTACTAAAATAAATCAATTTATTTATTTATCCATTTAAAAAAATCGTTTATTGAAATGATTGTTGAATTTGTTGTGAATTAAATTTATTTGAAATTAATCTGTTCTTTTTTTTTCAAATAGTTAAGATATTTTCAATAGAATAATAAAATAATTTTAATGATTAATCAAAATGTGATTTACATGATCGAGATGGATTTTTCTTTTCGATTTATTTTATTAACATTTTCTATTAAATCATATTGACTATTAAATAAATATTCACATTCATTTAAACGTTCAACAAGATCATCTAAATTTTTAATAAACAAATTTTATTTTATTCTTTTTATCAAATCGAACATTATTTCTCTAGCTGACACGTTTTTAAATAATATAATATATTAATTAACTAAATAACTCTAATTTTCATATTTCAAATATGAAAATCTAACTAATTACTATTAAAAAATGTTCGATAAAATAAAATCGTATATATGTATATCGAATATTGTTTTAAGTTAAGGAGATGTTCAAAACAATAAACTTATCATAAATCAATTCGATTCGATTTAAAATATTTCGAAATGAAAATAATATTTTAATCGAGAGAAAATATTTATTTTATTCAACGATTTGTTTCATAATAAAAGAAAACAAAAAATAATCTTAACAAAGTTAAAATCTAAGTTAGTTCTTTTTTTAAAAGTCTTTAGATAAAATTTTAAATCTTATATATCATTCAACGATCATTTTAAATAAATGTCAATATCATACAGATATTTAATTCAATATATTCTCATTTAACGAGAAAACATCTTTAACCAAAAACAAAAATTCCTTTCTTAATTTAATTATTTTTCTTTATCAAAAAAGTATACTTAAAAAAACAAAAAGAATGTCTGATATAAATATAAATAAATATTTATTTGTTTAAGTTAATAAAAAAGAAAGATAGTGATGATAATTGTCTCTGTCTAAAATATAAATTTGAGAATATTTTTTATTAGTTGAAATAATAAAAATCTAAAATCGATTAATTGAAAAATCTTTTAATGAGTTCATTTATTTATCTCTGATTTTCGATCGTCACCAAAATCATCTATCGGATTTATCTCTCAATTTCTAATAGAATTTTTTTTCTCTTGTAAGTCTCTTGTTCATTTTAATGCAAACTATTTATTTGATTTACATCTAATTCCAATCGATAATATCAATTCTCAACACACAATTATTATTAAAATATAGTTCAAATCTGATTGTTAATCAGGTTGATTGTCTCTTTCCTATACAAATCAATATGAGTAAAACAAGTCTGACGGTTCTCTTATCATAGATTCTAACGTAACATTTAGCTAAGTACTGTTCTCTGTCTATTACCGAAAGTAAACTAATCATAGTTGACTTTTAGCTAGTCGCTGCTACACTGATCAAAAAGCTGACATTGAAAAATTGAAATAGGTTTCGAATTAGTTTCAATTGTCGAAAGGCTTTTTATTTTCAATGTATGAACGAGGAAAAACGCAAAAGATAAAGTTAAAAGTTCGATTAAGAAAATCCTATGATAAAAAAACATGATGAAGGTTTGAGAAACAAAAAACAAATTTATTTTATGTTCGATTTGATAAAAAAAGTTTGTTGTCCAATAATTGAAATAAGATTATTTGTTGGTTTTGTTTGTTGTTGTTGTTGAACAATTGAATATAATAATTTAATTAATTGATTACCTTGATAATATGGATGTTAAATATTGATTAAAAGAAATTGTTTGATAATCATTCTATGTAATATGTTGATTTGCTGTTAATGATGTTAGATTTTGAGAAGATTTTGAATATTGATTTTCATTTAATGAATTACATAAGTCATTTAATTGAAATTTATTTTCTAAAAAAATTCTTTCATCAATTATACAATTTGTTAAAACAATTTCATCATATTGACGATTTATATCGCGAATTGTTTTCAAATAATTAAATTCATTGAAAAAAATCTTCTTTTTTTTATCAAGACGTTTAAATAAATCATTTTTTAAATGTTGTTCGATTATTGATCGACATATATCCAATGAACAACAATACATCATACATAATTTATCGATTATGCTTCCATCATTTGAACATAAATCATTTAAACAACAACCTTAACAAAAAAAAAACAACATTTTTCTTTTTTCTGTTTTTATATCTTTTTATTCAATTTATTAGCTTTAGTTTAATTAAATTATTTCGATTATTATATATTTATTCGTTTTGAATAAATAATTCAAATTAGTTTGATTTTGTTGACAACAAATATCGATTTCTAATATAATAAACAACTCGAATAATAGATATTCGATTTATGAAACTCTACAGTTAATCTATCATCTTTTCAACGAAACATTTTCCATAGTTTAATTAAGAAAAAACAAGTAGAATAGATTGAATAACTCGTTTAATATGATGAAATATAATTTCTAATATGAATATAATTGATGAAAATTCTCAGAATATTTAATAGATATTTATATTTCTATCGTATATTAAGAATATATATTTATATATGAATATAATCATTATTTGTAAATCTTATTTATAATTATATTATTTATAAATGATTATTAATCGATTGTTCATAGTTATAACTATAATATCGTTTAAACGATTAAATTTTAAAACATGATTTGAAATAATCGTTAATCATATTCGATTATTTACGTTTTTATCGATTAATAATCATATTGACAAGAAAATAGGTTATTTTTTCTAAGTTATCGATATATATATATATACATATATTCGATAAAAAAATATTTGAAATGATTTTTATTTAATCATATATATTGATAAATCTCGAAATAAAATGTTTAATTAAATTTAATTCTATATCGAGCAATCGAAAATTGAATTTGTTTCAGATCTTATTTCAAAGACTTCATGGGCGGCGCAAGGTCAGTTTTATAGGGGTAGCAATAAACTGTTAACTGAGTTCTATCCCCCCCCCCCCCCCCATTCAGTTCGATGGAAAATTTTTTTTTTCGCGAGAACTTAACTTCTCGAATATGCCGTATGTAAAGCTTGAGCATTAACTCCTCTGGTAGTGCATTAAGCTCACTTTAATTATTTTATGCGCTTTTTATTGAATAGATTTCAGGGTTGACCCGACCCGGGGACTGTGGGTGTTGTGACAACATTCCTATAATTGAAAATTTTTGTTCTTTTTCAGCGAAGTCGAAATTTTTTGCGTTCTGTTAAAAAAATTATTTTTATTGGAAAATCTGGGACAATCCCCCAAAAAATTGCGACAACCCTCAATTTTGTCTACCTCGGGCCAGCCCTTGTAGACTTACTTCTTTAATTTTGGTCTTGGAACACTATTAGATCTAACAAGTGTTTGGACAGTTACGATAGCATCAGTCTCAATTTCATAATATTATTCTAACGGGTGTCCATAATAAATGGCCGGTTTTTGTATTTCATATTTTAATCTCTAAATATGTTTCTTTTAAAACCGGGTATACCATAAGATATAGCGTGAAAATGTCTACAGTTTTCAAAGTAAAGCTTATTTTAATCGTGAACGTTTTTTTTTGGAAAACAGTAAAATTCTATTTCATCAATTTTTACAATTGCAAAATGGGCATTCTTGTTTCTTCTATTTTATGTTTTATCACGTAATGCGTTCTCTTCAAACACTATCGAATAAACCATAAGATGCGGCGTGAAAAGCTCAACAATCTGTAAAATAAAGTTTATTTTAATCGTATACTTTGTGCTTTGAAAAGAAGCAAGATTCTGTGAGACCGATTTGTGTAGCGTCGAAAATTGATTGCACAGAATTTCGTTTCTTTTGAATAGTGGCATAACTATGGTAGGGCATGATTGGGCGCCGTCCAACTGCCCATCTTAGTTTTGTCAGCTAAATTTCTTTATAAGCCCAACTACTCCACAGACATCGTTCACCTACGCCTAATTACCAGATATTTAAGCGATACGGTGCCCTATCACTGCCAAAATCCTGGTTACGCCATTATTTTTGAAAAGACCAAGCAAACAATTAAAATAAGCTTTGCTTTATTTGATTGTAGAGCTTTTCACGCTGCACCTAGTGCTATTTTCTGTTGTTCTAAAAAGTATTTAAAGATTCAGATATGAAATAGAAAAGCAGAGCATTTATTATGGAGTACTTGTT